TCCAAGAGATTACATCGGTCGGCAATGAAACCCAATGTTCAATAAACTCCTCAGGTGTCTCCACAGAATCACGCATGGAATGCATTAAAATCTGGTTGGTGTCATTGGTTCTCTCTGCAATGACAGAGCATAATGAAACATTCTAACACATTCGAAGGCCCTCTTGGTGTTCTTGTGTATTTATTACTTTCACTTCTGCACAATACAATACAGGGCTGGAAGATTGTGGAGTGGTTGACTAACATTCAACTGTTTTAGCTTAAACCAATGTTGGTCACTTATGACATCGTCGAGGCGCTACCTTTTAGAAGGTTCACTTCAGTTATGAATTTTAAGGGTGATGGTGGTTGGTTGCTGAGACTATGTCTCTTGCATTTTGCCTAATTTCTCCTCAGCTCATTCGACTGATTTTGAGCAGTTTGACCTAAATAGGAGTCAGACTAGATGATTAATTGTCTCCATAGAATATAAGAACACATTTTCTCAAAAAATATATTATCACCTTCTGTGTGGATTTACCCGAGAATGGGATTCGATTTTGCTGATCAAGAGATTGCCATCCAACATCTTACCTTCCGTAGAGTGTGCTGTAGAATGACAGTTTTCCAATCATCTCAGTATACTGATGAAATGTAATCATGCAAGTGCTTATAAAGAGATACTATCTGAGGTGACAACTACCGGTTTTCTCCATCAGGGATGCTTCTCATTACCTTTCAAGTCACTGAAGATATAATGCTGGATGTGACGCTGACTGACTTCACTTGTGAAGAAAAAAATAGTTCAGTGATTTGAAGTACCCAGATTATACAATTTTACTGGCGTGTCTGTAGACAAAATTGAGAGTGTACTGAATACCGCATGGTGAAATCTTAAAGTGTTCGTCTCGCATGTGTGAAACGAAGGATGACGTCCCACAACTACCACTCATCATATATTGGTTCAAGTATAGGCAATAGGTTGACTGAATGTTATAGGCATTTCACTTATTTTGATAGTTGCGTTTGTCGTAATGCAAGTGAGTAAATCAGTTGCATCTTAGACTTACACACTATTAATTCTACAGTCAGTATGAATTTCGATTATTAACAGCATAAAACGTACCCACTGCCATCCTTCTTGTTCATGCCTCTCCCTGATTATCTGGTGTGCTCACTTCTTAATCAAGTTACAGAACAGTAACACAACCCTCTATTCCATCAAATGTAGTCAATAAATAGTACAATGTAAACATAATGAATATCCTCAGAGTCCTACGTATCTGGAATTTAACATCGGATCTCTCCCTAGTCATTCATAACTACTTTCCACTGATTAACTATGCTGACAATTTGTCATTCCTTACTAATACATAAATGTAACTCCTAATCACTTTTTAGATCCACTAAAAGAGTAAACCAAACTTGAAGAAATCAACTTACTCTGATATTCCTTAGGGCCTGATTTTTCATCTTATGCAAAAGATTTACTTTGCAGAATGTTTCTACATTTCAACGACAATTACTCGGTTCCACTGCACCAGTTATTTTACTAGAACCTTAATGATTTTCTCTGTTTTTTTAGGTATTTTGAAATTCGTTGACTTGTCCCACTTTGCATAGTTATGCATGTCTTTCCACGTAGTAAACTTTAGGTTGAATGTCAAGACAACTTTAGCCTACCTGCTGACTAACGCATGCTGGTGCCAGGTGTACACAAAAGACACAAGCTACGGATCAAGGAACAAAATACAGAGAGAAGCACAGTCAATCAAAATCATGAGAAAATATAGAAGCTGTAGGACTGCCTCAGCTAAAGGAAAATTCAGTTTTTCTCCATTTCTCTCGATGACTGGAGGCTGTGAAGTTTCATTCCAACAGCTGCACATCAAACTTCTGATTTCAAGTACTATGAGGTTGCTATGGCGAAAAACATGGTTTAATTTTGTAGTACATTCACTCTGCAGCTAAGTAAATTTCGCCACATCTTTGCTGTGCAGCTCAACTAATACGGCGAACACTGCAATGAATGTCGTGTAGATTGACACACATGTGCTCGCCATCTTGAAGATGAAACATAACACTTTTAATTGACTTAGTCAGTCACTGACATTATATAAGCGCCTGATTTCATTTAATCAAATGCTCATTTATACCGTCTGAAATAGTGCAAACACCACATCATTTATGCATTATTGAAGCGCACGACAAGTTGGGTAAACCTATTCATTAATTGATTTGAGGAAGAGTAAACTCATTTGAATGACTTCAATTTTTCACCTTTTTGCATCTTTCTTCCTGGTATTATGAGAAATGACTTTGAAAGTTGATAGCTTCAATAATAAATAGTCTTATCCTTTTCCAGTTCACAATAATACCGAGAGAATACCTTGATCTTACTGGTTATAAGTTAGGCATGTGAAGAGACAATCAAACACTTGAAAACACTTGAATCCGAATTTTACTTACAATTAAAAGTCCCCTGAGTTTTATTCCAATCTTCCAGTTAGGTACTCATTTCAAAATATGACCCTGTTCGCAGCTCCCAGTGTCTAAACTGGAACAATCAATCATATTACCCTCCACTCTTTGGACTCTTCATTTGCCTTTGTAATGACCTGAAAAGCTTGTCAAGCTGTGTTAATACAGCAGGTTAATTTTTTTCTGGGTGAGGTCATTGGTCGATGCTTGTCGTTTTCCAAGTGGTTGTAACCCTAAAATCAGTTCTTATGACTTCGGATCTCTGTAAGTTGATATAAGTTCCACTGAATTGCGCTATTTGATTCATGTGAATAGAGGTTTCAGATGCTTTTGAAAATTTTATTATTCGTACGTGTCTAAATAACTTCAATTGATCATTTGAAAGATCTGTCATTGCTGCAGAAATATATATCAATTTCTATGATAGACTGTTACTGAAACAGTGCAACAAAGGTAAATTACCAAAGATGGCCACATCAAATGGAGGTAGTTACATACTCAGAGGAATTCACGTTTGCGTGCTCGTGAACGTACTGCTGTTCTGCTTGGAAAACGTGTAAAAGAAAACAAATGAATAGTGCCATTTTGTCTCATCTAGGATATAGTGAACATCTCATTCAAATAGATGAGTCATTTATGGCTGAATATTGAGTACCAAGCAGTCTACTTCACCGCACATGATAACGTATCTTATCTCTAGCGGATGCTATAAAAATTAGTAAGGAAACACCTAGCCTCTGTGTACAAAAGAATCACATTCATCCTCTCTGTTTACCCTGGCTTAATATAAGATCAGTAGGGATAAAGTCATCCATATTTCCCAGTTATATCATGCCTTCTTGTTCCTTCCCACCTAGTTCACTTTGTTCCATCACCTTATGATGTGTCAGCCTTTTGTAATTTACACTAAAGCTTATTATCTCTCTAGTATTTAATAACAGTTCACAATTGAAACTATCTGTTTCATCAGTACACTTGTAATCTGTCAGTCTTTGCTTCGATTTACATTCAGTGTTCCCGGATTTTCGGCATTTGTTTGTATGTGTTTATGCGAGCGGTAATCATTTACTCCCTTACCAATGAATATAACTCACTCCCAAACCCTATTGAAACTTTTATTCCGTTGACTATGAATAAATCAGCATGCGAGCCAGCTGTGTATTCACACTTTATTCTATATTCTGAATAGCTGGACATTTTAAACATAAACGTTCATATGACAATATTAAATAACAAACTATCAATCCATATGATACATGTACTCCAACAACACAGTTTCCAATTCAAATCTCACTTGCTTTAATGGTTGTTTTTGTATTAACATTGATCTATGGACTTTCTACTATAGAGTCTAATAAAGAATTAATCGAATACAATACTGTTTGCTCAAAATCATCTTTACTTCTTTACTTGTATTCTTATCTAACAGTTGTTTTCAAATTATGTGATTACCTGTTCATTTGTGTCTAACAGATTTTTCTGAGAGTTTTTTTATTCGTATCAAACAAAGTTCATTATTCTGATTTATCGAAATTAACAACAACTTTGCTCACATATAAATTAACTCAGATAGATTTTCACCTGTTTTTTGTCACGTAGCACACTTGGTGCACACTTTGCTTCTCCGATTTCTGGGAATTGTCTGCCTTTGTCAATGATGGGTTCATCAAAAGAGGGTAAGTTCCATCTGTTTCAGCCAACATACTTTTATTTCTTATATCTGAAATTCTGTTATACAGTTGACAACATAAACTGCTGAGCTTTACTCAATGGAATGATATTTGTAAAGCTTAGATGCTACTAATCATTACGATGACACACTTTCTCTGACATCATTACGTGTTTCATTTCAACTCAGCATTCCGAGGGTTACGATTCACAAGTGTATGACTTCCTCGATATGTCCTCCAGAAATGTAAAGCTTTATTGGTTTTCGAATGAATTTTTTAACGTTTTACAGTCAGTCATTTTATATACAGTGACTGGTATCCTAATGAGACACTTTCAAAGGATCCCGCTTGGTTGGAATCATACATACACTTAGTTTTTTCGCATCGGTAAATATAGATATTTTCATTCTAAGAAGTATTCAATATCCCATGTTACACGGTATAATATGGGTGATGAAATGTCTCATAGACTTAGAGGAAAGATTATATTCGCCTGATATTTTAGTTTATCAATATTTTTAATATCTTCATTGACATTTACACTGAGACAACCTTGACTATTATTATATCAGTGAGGACAAAATATGCTCTGGAATACTAAACCAAATAAGGGTGAGCTGGTGTCTGACTTCCAAGAGGATGTATTCATCGTGTTTTTAAACCACTGAATACCTGAAATAATTCTAAACTTAAAAGCCTAATTCAACGTCACCAACCGAGAAACACCATTTCAAAATCGAACTGTACACGGTAAAATTAGAAATGATATTTTGTCTATCAGACCAGTATCCTGGAACTTGTGTAATCATGTTATATCTTATGGAGTGTTTTGTCCTTCCTCAACAACAACCAATCTCATGCATCAGGATGTACGCCAATCTTCATCACTATTATGTTAGGTGATTGTAGCTTCAAATATGAATGTGGCGCTAGTCAACGTTGCTGACACTCGATAAGTAGCTATCTGCAATTGACTGAAAGTTGGTAGAAACCATTCTTGTCATCATGACACCAAAATGTGAAGCATTTTGAATACCACAATAAGAGATATGACTTCCATAGACGTATCAATCGATGCTGTGAGATGCATGTTGACGCTACGTGAGTTTTGCTTTAGTCACATACAGTGGAACAACATAAACGGTGGTGATAACGTTTGACATACATCTCTACGTAAAAACCGAAATAAATACGATGACCATAAGGAGATAGCTGAAAAAGCAGTTTAGATATTCTCTGTAGTCACAATTTTAGCGACGAGATAACTTCTAAGTACCAAATTTCTCAAATATCCAAACAGTATGAAGCACAATAAATGGAGGTCTTCCACCTTTCGGAAAGTTAAGTCACTAATAAATCTCCTCCTATATCTGGTAACCCCGAATCCTTTTCCTTTCTTTTCAATTTATCATGAATCATTTGAAAATGGGATCTGTCAAACGTCAAAATCATTCCACTGTCCTTGGGTGAACTGTCTGCAATAGAAGATTCAGTGAATTCAAACAACGGAATAAAAGTATGTTCATCAGTTGAATTACTTATAATTAACTTAATAACTATCAATCAGGTGCCTTTTCAAAAGAGCAGAAGACAATTTGTGTGGGAGGTAATCGATGAATTTTGAAGGCTGTTCATTCATCGCTTTCTAATTATTCAAAGATTTTTTTCATAGTCATGTTTCAGATTTCATTTGTATGGGAGATTTCCGCTGTAGTGCTGCTTATGTAAGTTACACGCATACTTGTTGTTAATTTTATGCTTCGAAGTCCAAAGCTTAAGCAATGGATGATAGAATCTCGCTGGTTCCCCTGGCTGAGTGGGTATGTGTGACACATTCATTGTCAGTCCTATTTTGATATCTTTCCTTAATTATTCTGAATAACGTAATGAGTTGTATTCTAAGCGTTTATATCTCAACGAAGATAGAGAATAACTTGTTGTCAACAGTAGAGCTGTAGGTGTTGAGCTTCTCGTTTATCGAATTGATGGAGATCACCATTACTCCACTAAATTTCGGATCTATGCATAGAAATCAGTCTTGTGTTGTAGTCGACAGTCTTCGTACAAAAGGTTAGGAAAGGCTAAGGCAGGCGAAGATATTACAAGTGGATGTTTCATAGAAGTGTTTCTCACTACCATATGACATCGTTATCCGTCTTCCATGATAGCAAAATCAAAGGGAAACAACACAGACTAGGTCCTTGTATTTTTTCTTTTTTCCTTCACGTTCCCATTGGAATATAGGGCCTCAAGCTAGTGCCTTGAAGTCTCTGTATCAGTGTTTAATTTTACAGGATGGGGTTGCTAGCCTTCTGCCAAACCTGTCCTCTTTACCAACATTATTTCTGGCTAAGAGGTGCTTGAAGGATTGAACCCCGGACCATGTTCATGGTTGGCGAACGTCCTAATCGGTGAGCCACTGACGCACAGGTACTTTTATGCTCATATTTAATCGGTACAGTTATCAGGGATCTCAGTTTCGCTCATCAAATAAATAATGATCTGATTAATTGCGATCCCTATTATTCTCGTTTCTTTCCCCTATGTCAATTCAGATGTCTAGGGACGATTATTCAACTGCAGATACTTTTAAGACCACAAGTGCAGTTCGTGTATCCTTTCAATTACATCATCTTGACAACTTCTGTAAGTGGAGTACGTTTCGCAGTACCTAAGTATCTTAATATTTGATTTTTTTATATCTAAATATCTAAATGTATAACAAATGTGTAAATTGTCCTCTTCCTAATAAATCCAAGCACAAATTACACAATATCCTCCTAACACTTGGCTGAACAGAAATGAAGCTGAAACAGCTCATTCATGCATTTTCACACAGGAAGTAAAATTGACGATATTTCAGTAATATGGGAAAATATATCAACCAAAACAAGCCGCGTGAGTGTTCAATAGCATCATCCATTGATTCATAAGATCTTCGGAATTTCGAAAAATAAACTGAAGTTATTCGTGATGAACTTTATTCAGCAAATGGAATATCGAGAAATAAGTCACATGAAACGGCGAGTGATACATCCACTCATTGAGTGCATAACAATATGCATTGAAAGGAAGCTGATACCTGAGGGGAACACTCGAATGAATTGTCACCACTGGTTCCAACGCACAATCTCCATCAGTTTATGTATAGGTTGGTCTATTGGTACTTACAATGCAAACAGATATCATGCATATGCATACATACACCTTCTCGAATAACTGTTTGAAAGTGGATACGAATTCAAATATCTAGCTTAGAACTTTAAGAAGAATCTATTCAGCATCTTAAGAACGTTTGCCACATACATTTAACTTTCACGAATAAATCCTACATACTACTCTACGTCATTTCTACTTTCTTAATGTTTACCTCTTCAGACAATCATCATTTCATTTGTCGCTGCTCTACCACTGATCAATATGGAAACCTGGATGATGCCTGTCACATGGATGATTACCATGGTCATCACAGTGATTGCAATGACTTCCAGTGCCTTCCAAAGATTTGATATGCTTAAGAGTCTGAGGAAGCTGGTATTCACCACATTCCTCGTGCAAATATTCTATTGTGTAATATTCTTCCCTTTCATTCATTTCCAACAGATCGACGTAAGTAATCAGCTGTGAGTTGCTTTTGGTAAGGACGTGACTACTTTTAGTGGTGACATTTTATAAGCTTTAATGACAATTATTCGTTTCGTATTGTAACCAATCATGCAGTTATCACTTTTTGTGTGTAGCGGAATAAGGAATTCTGAAGTCTTCATTTTCACATCGTTCTGCTTATTCATATCTCAGAATATCGAAGACGTTTCGTTAGGATATTCACATTGCTTCTGTATTCAATTTACTTCATTATATCGAGTACGTCTGATCTCGAAGCAGTAACATACAGTGCTGGAATTAATGACGACGTTTCTTTCATTTTAGAATAAACTAAGTGCATAATGCAGTCATTATGCTTTGAACTAATTGGCGAACATGAAAAAAGGCTCACCTTCGTCCTTAAGCCTAGCCGGGACATATCCACTGTACCTTGTTGCATGCAGTCATATTTAGATGGCACTATGTCTGATTACATACTTTCATTTCCTATTCCACCAGACCATTGCCGAAAAGCCTAGCCGAGACCTCGTACTGCTACTACTGAATTCGACGACGGATGACGTCGATTAGTGAAATGATTCCATAAACCAGTTGGCGGATAGATCTGTCTTCAGTAAAAAGAAGCGTGAAAATGTAGACATGGAATATCTAAACCAGTGTCGACGTTAACTTGCGTAATTTGATTGTAGGGCATGTGTGTGACATACTGGAACTTAGTAATATTCGGCAGGAATTTGTGAATGTTGTTTGCAAAGCAGAAAACAGTAGGAATATAAAATTGTGTTTATTTCATGAACGTGAAATCGGTCAAGAAAATAGTTTTCCGTATCACTAACGGACATGTGGTGACATTTTGAAGTATTTTATTCGTCAAGCTTTAAAAAGCTGACCATAGTTGTGAGTAAGTGATATTTTATAGCCTCACTGAAGTGGCCGTGAGACTGATACTCACAACTGTGAATAGCGAAGATACTTTGCTTAGCATCAACAGGTCTCACAGAAATCGCGGATAGACCTAACTCGGTGGACAATCAACTGACACTTAACATTAGCTAAAATGGTAGACACAACGAAGAAATCGCATTCCTCTTTGTATGTAGTTCGTAGTCAATCACTGATTTCACTCCTTATTCTCTTCACAGATACTCATAATTCTGAGTGGTTTCGGCATGGTGAGCACAATTATATGGGTAAGTTTATCTGTCTATCATTTAAAAATAATTTCGTGCTTTCCGAAATCAAGTGAGTTGCTTTTGCGTAAGATGCTTGGAAATCTATTGAATGAGGTAGACAACTGGACTAGTTTGCAGCACCAATATGCCTCGGTATCGCGTGTAAGGGATATAAAACTTACTTTGATTGTTCCTTTGAGCCGTAATTATTTTTCCATTTCATGCATCTCTGCTTTCAGTGTTGAAGTGAATGAAGCTGGGAGAATAGAATCATCTGTGGTGTTGTTTGAATTCTAGGGAAAGAATAGACAAACATAAGTGATTACTGAATTTCAGTGCAGTACTTGATTCGGCGGTGCTAAACTTTCTTTTCACTCCTTCGCGTTCCAATGGAACATAAGCCTTCACGTTAAAGCGTTACAGTTAAGGTGGTAGTGATTCTATTTTCACGGGGTGAGGTCGCTAGTCTCGTGCCCAACCTTCCTTTTTGGCAGGTTTGTTACCATCTAAGCGGGGTTAGGCAGTGCGCTAGCTATCCGCTGAACATCCGATCACGTAAGCTTCCGTTTCACATGGCTTTGATGGTTGAGTAGTGAAACACTCGTCCGGTGTTCGATCCTAATGCTACTGAGACTTCACAGCTCTTTTTTGAAAGCCCTGTGATCTACTGGGAACACGGAGGATAAAAATATTAATAAACGTACTAGATAGAAAGATGTAGCTACCTGAAACATCCAGTTGACTTTTAGCTGATTGACCAAATTTATTTAATCCGGAGGTAATCATCTCATTGACCTAGTCGCATGTGGATGTGAACTATTGATTAGTTAACATTCGAATGATTGGTGAACAGTTACTTATTCAACTGAATTTTCCTCTCTCTTCACATTTCTGCCAACATTCTCTGTGTTATTTAGTAGTCTCACAAAGTAATTGAATTCAACAGCAAATTCATAATTTTCTTTCTTCGCTACCCGCTGAACATAAACAGCCATTCTACACCTCTATACGGGGTCTCAACCGGAGGTTAACCATATATTCGATTGATGTCAAGGTTTGACTTGGTCATAATCAAATCTTTTTCAGTCCAGTCCTATGTCAGCTTAAATTAATCTTATCACAGCAAACATTGTTAGCATGAATTGATTTTCTTTTACTTTCAGGAGATGGCATGCGTTGTTCAAGCTGTCCTTGGTGACAGGAGTTTCACTTTTCAAGATAATCAATACATACTTTGTGCTTCGATAATTACCATGTTAATTATCTGGCTGCAGCTGATAGTTTCAACAGCGGCGGCGATCATCCTCGTGTTAATAAATAGTATGGATAATGTAAAGAGTGTTGCTCCATCAGTTACATCTATCCATACACACCTATAAAATAGATGAGATATTCATTTCAATTACGTGGTTGATGAAAACTTTCCATGTGGTAATGTTAACATTTTATTGAGAACAGTATTATTATTACATGATAAATTCACTGTGAATCTTATGTGTCTTAAATCAACTCGAAGCAAACATCGATTTCCAAAACAACTGATTTCTTAACTCACAATAAATGAAGCGAAAGCAGTATCAGTTTATCAACTGAACTCCATTCAACATAAATCAGATATCAGTCAGAAACTTTCCATACCTTTATTCCTTATTACTGAATTGATGGCTGTCTGCCAGAAGCTGGTCAAGGTGTTGCTGTGGGATGTCTTTGATTACTTCAGATTGGCTTAGCGTGCATCGTCGGGATGAGTATTAAAGGTTGCTGATTGCTTATACTACAAACTTGACAGATGAGAATGAGTTGGCATTTAGAACTATGGACTAACTATTGAACATTAGCTATCGAAATAGCAATTCGTCAAGTCCAAGTCATCATAATTTTATGAGAAGTAAAGCAAAATGGTCCAGGAAAGATAATTTCATTTATTGACGAAATCATCTTTAGGAACTGTAGCGTCGTATTTATATTTACCAAGACGTATAGCCGTCTATTATTAAAGGGGTTGTATTGACGAATCACCAGCGCCTCCATCATAAACAAATGCCGAGACCTAATGTACTTTCTGCCATTCGGTCTGATCAAATAGATAGTCCTTAAAGAAGACTATTGATTTAACCAAGTGCTCGAGAATTGAGCTAGCAACTTTCCTGAATTTTCTTTTTATTAACCATGTCAAACAATGTTCAGAGATGCGTTTGGAAGGTGTATGCATTGTTGTGCCAATATAATTAACTCCACAGGATAAAAGTGAATTTATAAACACACTTTGCAGTGACACATAGTGGCAGTTTCTCCTTTACACATAAGTTGATGGTTTGTCATCTGTAGCTCAGCCTCAAAGATGGATTTCCTCAGTAATCTGTAAATGCGCTCCTTCATTTTCTCAACTGAGATGTCATCTTTAAACTCAACGTTCACAAACAAAATTTTCCTTGACACAGTGTGGGTCCTTTCGAGGCTTTGCTTTAACTTCATCTTTTTCTCCATGAACTCTGAAGGGTATGCATTTTCTATGAGGACTTGCTTGAGTCTCTCCTGTTCACCGTTTAATGTAATCGGATTTCTCTATTTTACAAAGGAAGCCAAATATGGAAATTTGTGTGTTTAGCATTCCACGTAGGTTTCCGGCTGGCGGATCTTTCAGGGAAACACCAGAAACTCTCTCTAACAAAACACGTAGAAAATGAAATTCCGACTTCGCCTCAGACTCCAACAGAATCAGAACTATAGTAGTTGCTGAAATCCTTGTTTATCATTCTGATGTTAGCATTCCCATCACATATGACAACAGTATCATGCATATATCTGTGCCACAAATAATTACTAAGTAGTATGTGAGTGGCCTGTATATAGATATACAATAAAAAAGATATACTTTTCATACTCAGAGTTAAACAGCATTTCGCTGGATAAGAGAAATTCATTACCACTAGAAATAGCTCTAGGAACCGCCTTTAAAATGCCTTCAGATAGCTGAGAAAAAAATAGAGATTGAAGCGCTGAAATATTTCATATGAAACTGAATCAAGATTTTGTTGCTTCACAATTTGTATCAGAACTGAGATACCTTTGGGGCACCCATATAATAAAAGGGGATTATTGTTTTCACAGCAACTACTTCTCAGTCCACAGACTTAAGTTTTGATGCACCCAGCCTATCAGTAATGTCAGAATATTCCCTTCCATCATGTGTTCAAGAGCCAAAACAGATTGACACACTACTCGTTTAGTTTAGATCCTTGAGGTTTTGTGCTCACAGGGTTTGAAATCAAGGTTTTATCAACTCCCTTAAGTGAATTTATTAGTGTATTTACTTCAACACTCAACTATCAGTCAATGGTTGGTTGTGAAAGGATAAGGCTTTCCATCTGTGTGTAGTTCTTCAACTAGCCTACATTTGAGATTTCGCTTACCTTGGCTTTGAAACTATCTGATGAAGATAAGTAAAAGAAAGAGTCGACAACAGCTTGTCTTGTATTCTATACTGTGTAGTTAATGTGATTCATTGACTTAAGAAGATATGATCGACAGTATGGAGTAAATGAAAGATAGTAGTAAATGAAAACTCCTGTTAAATAACGATTATCTGAGATTCATTATTATTCCATATTAGATAACTTTATTTTAAATATCGCGGTTTTATTCACTAGGTAACAAGGTTTCTAGTATAAATTATTGCCACTCATAACCACTAATCAGTTTTAGTTACACAGTTTCTCTTTCCCTCTCTCTACAACTTCCCTTTGTCGCTTGTTACCACCTTGCATATCTCCGATAGATAAGCAGTGTAACTTGAAAATTCCCATTCAGTCATAGAAAAGAAAATGTGTTCAGCAAAGAGTTACTCTTTTCAGCGATATCATTCTCAAGCTGTACAAATCGCCAATTTATAGTAATTTGTCTTGGCAACAAAAGGAATATTTCCAAAGATGTGTTAATGCAATTGTTAGTTTTTGACAAACAAATTACGTAATTTAGAAGGCGTTAATCGGTTACAAACTAAAATAAGGTTACAAAAGTAGGTTGGATGACGTAATCTAATTGATCGGGTTCAATGAAAAAATGAATGAGAGTCAATTTAATAATCTGAGTAGAATTCACTTGAAAATGAATGAGGGTTAAGTTAATAAGCTGAGTAGAATTCACATAAGAATAAACGAAAATCGAGTTAGCAACAGTCCTCATGAGCGTAGAGATTTAATAGAGGGTGGGGGTAGAAAATAATGCAATTAGGAAATAGACAAACAAAGAAGAAAGAGGTAAGACAAAATTACGTATTTGGTGTTAAGATAGATCAGGACCATTGTAGATTTAGTTTGTATGCAGAGTTCAGGATTCAATATGTGAATTGCCATTGCTTCTGCAGTTTGAAGAAGTTTAATTCGTACTCTTTTGGCAAGATTCCCACGTATTGTGTAGATAACTGAGAAGTTGTTTTGTGGGTTTGCTTGGTGTCCGGATTCAATCAAGTGTTCTAGGACACAGCTGTGGCGAAGAGACCTTCTTTCTCCTTTATAAAACCATGAAGGTAAGTGTTCGCTGATTCGTTTGGATAGCAAACGCTGGGTACGGCCGACATACCTAGCTCCATATGAGCAGGTGAATTGGTTGGTGCACACTGATGAGGCTCCCAGTGGAAGCTTATCCTTCACGTTCGTTCGAATCATTGGTTTCGCAGGGTTAAGAGATAATTGTAAAATAGTTATTTTAAACGAATTTTAAATGTGAGCAGGAGAGGGCATGGAAACAAACTTAAAATAAATGTTTTTATAACTGAAAACACAAATGGCATGAATTGATTGAAGACAAAGAGAGAAGACTAGTCATGAATCAGTCTGCAAGTGAAGGACTAAATAGTGACTCTATTGAGTGAGAAGAAGAATTGTAGTTGAAGCCATCATGGTGTAATTACATCAATTATGTAATAGGCCCCTTCAAATTATCGACAAGTTAGTACTACACGTTCTTGGTAAGTAAAAATACAACTGTACAGCATCTGGAGATGATTTAATCGATATAGAATATATTGTCCACCGAACTGTCTTCTATTTTCTTCATGACTGAGTTAATAAAGCTAACAGGAATGTATTCAAATTCAAGCCGGAACAGCAGTGATTATGTTATGCCTGAGTAAATGTGATTATTATCGTTATACTCATTAACTTCGGAGGGGAATATAAGGCTTCAACTTTCTACTTCGATTTCATGCTGTTTTATGCTGTCCTACCTATGTGATACCAGAATCTGTAAAAAGTACTCATATTCTTCTTCACAAAATATCCTTAATCTCATTCTTAGATGTCCAACTCTCCTTTTCTGATCCGGGTCAATCTCGATGGCTTGACGTACTATGTCAGCCGCTATTGAGACCGATGTAGATGTTGTCGAATTATAACTGACCTTATATGAGATGAAATGGTCAGTCAGCAAACTTTGATTTCTTAAGCGATTCTCACGACAAATAAACTTCAGCGATTTCATTCTCAAAAGCAGCTGTACAATCGCATTTATATAGATTATTTTAACATGGATAGAATTATTAATTGTTTAATTCCACATAGTAACGAAGGTGATAATAATTTTCAACTTGATATGATAGTTTGAAGGTAGGATTAAAGGATAGTTACAACGTATGCAAAAATTAATATTTGATAACTAGAGAAATAATTTTAAAGGTGAATCACGTTTTGTCGGAAAAAAACATGAGACCTAAACCTAAAAGAGAAGAATGCGATTCAGCGCCAAAGAAAACGCTGTATCTAAATCTGAATTTCAAGGGAGATTTGGCACCTGATATCCTGAAGAGGAGAATATCCAGCTCTTTAAAGAAGACCTTCCCTGCAGCAACACTAAGAGTGACATTCTCTAGCCGCCCAATACTTCAAAACAACACGAAGGACAAACTTTCGCATATGACCAATTCAATGTGCATATACTAGTTCACTTGCTCGTGCGGAGCTAGGTACATAGGTCGTTGTATGCGCGTCCTCTCAAAACGTGTTAAAAGACACTACCCTAGTGTGGCTGCAAAGAGGAGGCACCGATTCAATCAGAAGTGCCATTATTGAACATCTGGTCAATACCTCCCACAACATCTCAACTGATTCTTTCAAAGTGATTTACAAAGTCAACAGAAACCTACCAAGAGCAGTATGTTTCCGACTTCTTTGTACTGCAGAAGCCCTCGCAATATGCATCGAGAAGCCGGAGCTGTGTGTTCAAAAGAAGTTAGTCCAACCTCTACAACTACCATGGACTTAGCTTGGTATGTTCCCTTTGCTTCCGCTTTTTTCTCTTTCTCTTCCTCGTCTGTTTTCGTTCTCGCTTTTTCCTTTTATAGCATTTTTCGTTCACTGTGTGTCTGATCCTTAGTCCCTCAGTCTTCATTAGATCCACTTAATATTTTTCAGCTATAAAAAGTTATTTTAAGTTTGTTTCCATGCTTTTCCTTGTTCAAATTTATAATTCGTTTGAAATAACTATTTTACAATTATATCTTAATATTGTGCAATTTTTGTGTTTCTGAGGCTTTCGTAATCTATATTCACACGTCCTAACTTTCATTTCGGGTTCAAATTATTTTTTCAGTCATAAAACTAGTTATTTTAATTTCGTTTCCATGCTCCTCCTGATCACACTTGTAATCCGTTTAGAATAACCATTTTACAATTATATTCTAATCCTGTGTATTTTTTTGTTTCTATGCCTCTTGTAATCTGTCTATATTCACACCTCCTAACTAACATTTCAAGTTGACAATTTTGATTTCAATTTGTTTCCATGCTCATTTTGTTCACACCTGTAGTTCGTTCTATTCCTGCGTTTCTAAGCCTCTTGTAATTCATATAAAGTCGAAAATAATTATCACCTTTGATTCGTCTTTAAAATTATTTCTCCAGGAATCAAATATTAATTTTGTATACGTTGTAACTGTTTTTCTGATCCTATGAAATCTTAT